CAGAACTGCACTCCTGGGAGGAGATATCTCAGATACCACCAGCCATTGGTGTGCTCAAGACCATACAACATCCAAGTCTAGCAGACTGCTGTGGTTCACTTGACCTCTTGACCAACTCTCTCCTGTCCCCAGTGAAGTCAGTGACAATATTTGAAGACAGAGAAGTTCTTGGTCCTGAGCATGTGGGTGGTTCACAGGATTTAGTAGTTTAATAAAATTGCTGGTGTGAAGGAGGGTTTGTTGTCCTCTAACACATTTTTCCACCAGTGTGTTGAGAACGAGCAGAGGTTGGGTAATCCCAGGGTCATCTACATCTGAAGCCACCTTTAATTAAAAATTAAATCATAACTGACAAGACAAGATCCCAACTCAAATAGTTTTTATGAAGTTTTGATGAGTTCCTCCTTCATACCATGCAAGAGAGAGACGTTGTATGACCTGTTCTCCTAGAAGAATGTTAGAACTAAATCTTCAGGTGACTAAAGGTCGGGGAGATTTTTCTCATCCATAGTCAAAGCTCAGGAAACCATAGGTATGTGGGTTTTTCTGCTTGGAAATGTAGCTGGTGTCCTCCTGTTAGCTCCTGGAGCAAGATCTGGAGTGCAGGATAAAATCCACAGCAGAAATGTGTTGGAGAAGGTGTGAACTTCACATCAAAAACCTCAACAAGTATCATGAGCACTTGAGGGCTACCAAGGACACTAAGTTCATTCAGGAATGGCTTTGCACAGCTCCACCATATCACTGTTTCTGGTTGTGATGGCTTTTGGTCAGAAGGTGACTGCAGAATGGCAGGGGACAAAATAAGAAAATAAAACCAAACTGGGGTCCATCCTTGTGTCCTCAAGTTCCTCAAAAGATCTCAACCTCTTGGTTGACATTGGACCCAAGGAACTGGTCCCAAAACCCCATCTATATTCTGGCTTAGCTTCTCCTGCCAAGGAGCTTCCTGAGCAAAATGGCTTTGAGGACACATTCCAGGAGCACCACCAGATCCCATCACTTTAAAAGATGGGTAGATGTGGTGTTTAGGGACATGGTTTAGTGGTGGACTTGGCAGTGTTGGGTTTTTAGTTTGATTCAATGACCTTAAAGGTCTTTTCCAACCAAAATGATTCTACAAATTTATGATTCTGCTCTTAGAGGTGATGGTTTCAGGGCAAGGAGATGGGCTGCTCACAGAAGCAGCCCAGAGATGGCTGAAGTAGTCACTTGGATGTCCATGTAAAGGGCTTGTATGGTGGCCAACATACCTAGACATACCCAAGCATGGTGCATGGAGCACTTCTGGGCTCCTGTCCAAGGTGGAATTAAGAACCAGAGGTCAACCTGCAGGGATGGCACCCAAGGAAACTCCTGAGCCAGCCACCAGAGATGTTGTCCAGGTCAGTCTCATGCACATTGTCTTTCTGGTTGCCCACTCCTCCTGCACCAGCTGAGCCACGTACAAAGCTTGACCTGAAAATCCTGGAGAAAGGAGATGAAGCTAGAAGACATCCTCTGTGGTTGTGTTTGCATTCGGGCATGTTCATGTTTGAGAGAGCTACTGCTGGTCCTACCTGAGATCTACTCCTCTGCCTTGACCATGCACTACACCTTTGGTGTATGCCTTGAGTGGTGTAGGTGGGGAGACAGAGACTTTCAGGCCCTCCAGAGTGTGACCCAGGTACTGGAGAGGAAATTTAAAAGGAAGGGTCAATATTGGGAAGCTCCTCCAGATCTGGGAAGAAATGATTGGTCTTCCTCCCATGTTTCTCCACCAGCCATTCCCCAGACCTTGACACAACCCCACAACTTCCATCACACAACAAACATTATGAGATGAAAACTCTTGTCTATGCAAATCTGTTGTATGATCTCCATCTGCTGTCACCTGTGGTGACAGGGGGATTCAAAACTCTTGAGATGTTCTATTGGGAAAATAACGTGTGGGTCTCCTAGCTCAAGGCAAGAAAACATCACAGAGAGCATCTCTGGGGAGCATCTCCAGGTGAGGAGCACAAAGAACATCTCTGGGGAGCATCTTTGGGTACAAGGAACATTTCTGGGTGAGGAGCATCTCTGGGTGAGGAGCACAAGGAACATTTCTGGGTGAGGAGCATCTCTGGGTGAGGAGCACAAGGAACATTTCTGGGTGAGGAGCATCTCTGGGTGAGGAGCACAAGGAACATTTCTGGGTGAGGAGCATCTCTGGGTGAGGAGCACAAGGAACATTTCTGGGTGAGGAGCATCTCTGGGTGAGGAGCACAAGGAACATTTCTGGGTGAGGAGCATCTCTGGGTGAGGAGCACAAGGAACATTTCTGGGTGAGGAGCATCTCTGGGTGAGGAGCACAAGGAACATTTCTGGGTGAGGAGCATCTCTGGGTGAGGAGCACAAGGAGCATCTCTGGGTGAGGAGCATCTCTGGGTGAGGAGCACAAAGAACATCTCTGAGGAGCATCCCTGGGTGAGGAGCACGGAGAGCACATTCAAACATGTCCAACCTTGGTAGTGCCTTTGCCCGTTGATTTATTGCAGGAGTTTTCCACTTCTCACTAAGAATAACATTAAGGAAGGAGAAGACCTCGTTAGAACTTCAACGTACCAGTGAGTTATTGTTGATATTATCCTATTAATACCATCATCATTGTTTTCAGACTAATTAAATGTTTCATTTTTATTGACTTTTTTCTCATGTGGTCCAGGATGGAAAAATCTGATTCTCATCCACGTCAAGAAGCTCCAAAGAAGGAGAAGTTGATTTATTCCATCTGAAAATGACTTGAAATCAATGTTCATTTTAAGAATATGAGATGCTGGCAATTTTAATTCAATATAATCGATTATCTGGGGGGGGTTTAATAGTGTGGTGTTGTTTAAATAAATTACAACCTCGAAGCTTATCAATTTGGGAATAAAAAGAAGAAGGAGAAAGAGAACTGGAGAAGGTTTGATGAGATGGAGAAGTAGAGAGTAAACAAAATATCCGTTGTATTTAAATCTCAACCTGGCAGAAAAAATCTATTTATTTGTAATATGAAATGGATTTCTCCTCTCTGGTTATGGAGATGAATTTCTAGGTGAAAGGTAAAAGGAGATGAAAACGACCAGAGATTTAATTATGTTGGGAAATTACATGAGACCAACCATTATTCTCAACTATTTGTGGCCAAGCACAAAACATTTCCAAGAGAACTTCATTTTCCTTGCTCTTAAATGGGGAGAAGGAACCCAAGAAAAGGCAGAAAAACTTCATTAAAGCTTCATTTCTCCTCCTTTTTTTTAGCAGAAACCTCATGAAAACAAGGGTGCTTTTTTCTTCTGAAGGTTATCTTCATTTTTGATTTACCCAACGTTAGAGAAAATAGATCAATTAATAATTTATTAATAAATAATTAATTCCAAAGGAATTTGTGTTTCTGAAAATCATAGAATCATAGAATGGTTTGGGTTGGAAGGGACCTTAAAGCTCATCCAGTCCCAACCCCCCTGCCAGCAGCAGGGACACCTTCCACTAGACCAGGTTGCTCAAAGCCTCATCCAACCTGGCCACAAACACTTCCAGGGAGGAGCAGCCACAACTTCCTTGGGCAACCTGTTCCAGTGTCTGACCACCCTCACAGTGAAGAACTTCTTCCTAATATCTCATCTAAACCTCCCCTCTTTCAGCTTAAACCCATTTCCCCTTGTTTTGTCATTAACTGCCCTTATGAAAAGTCCCTCCCCAGCCTTCCTGGAGCCCCTTCAGGTACTGGGAGGCCACTAGAAGGTCTCCCCAGAGCCTTCTCTTCTCCAGGCTGAACAGCCCCAACTCTCTCAGCCTGTCCTCACAGCAGAGCTGCTCCAGCCCTGGCATCATCCTGGTGGCCTCCTCTGCACTGGCTCCAGTAGCTCCATGTCCTTGTGCTGTTGGTGGCCCCAGCACTGGAGGCAGCACTGCAGGTGGGGTCTGAGGAGAGCGGAGCAGAGGGGCAGAATCCCCTCCCTCCACCTGCTGCCCACGCTGCTCTGGGTGCAGCCCAGGACACAGTTGGATATTACAAATCTATATGAATAATACAACATTAGGTAAAATAAATATATATAAGGTCTTCAAGATGTCACACATCATGTCCTCCTCCATCTGAGCTGAAAATCACTGATGGATACTCATCCCTAGTTTTTTTATTACAATGTCTTTGACCTTCATGACTCTCTAAAACATTTCTTACCCTGGTAAAAGACATGACCCTGACCTACATCAACCAAAAAAAACCCCCAAAACACCATGAAAATTCATTTGCTTTTATGTTCTAGGAAACTACCTGGAAGACCCCAAAAAATTCTCCATTTTCATCTGAATTCCAGCACCAGCAGAAGCAATCAACTGCGTGATGGAATGATGGTGGGAAACGCGGTGAGATGGAAGTAGTCAACCAGAGGTAACATGGGCATGAAAAAATGGTGATGAGAATGACTTTAGGTAGCAAAGAATGGAATAATCTGGAAAAAAAGAGAGATGGATGGTTGGAATAACCTAGAAAAGGAGAGATGGATGGTTGGCTCCTGCTGAGCTAATTCCTTGAATTCACCTTAGAGAAGAGAAATGGGCATTTCCATAATGTTGCTCATCTTCTCCTTGATGGAGAATGGGGCAGAGGAGCTGCATCTCCCCCAAAAAATGTCCCTTTTCCTCATTCACCAGAAAAAAAGACCCATAAGGACCAGTGCAGATGAGGGGGCTTTGCATGGAGAGCACCCAAAGCTAGGTGAGATGAATCCTCATGCCCAAAGCTGAAGAGCATCCATCTGTAGATGTAATCTACATCACCAAGAGAATCCAAATCATCTTAATTGCACATTAGAGACAAGAGGGGCCGAGCTGTGTCTTGCAACGTGCTCAGCTCAGCAAGATTTCATCCAACATGTGTTTTCCTTGCAGAACCTCTACAAACCTCCTTAGAAAAAAATATCTTCCTGCATATCAACCTATTTCCTTATTCCTTCTTCATCCTCGCAGGTGTTTTGACCAACCCCACCATGGAGAACTGTAGCAACAACCTTTCCACCAAAGTCTTTTTCTTGGTGGGCTTTCCAGCTCTCCAGGATTACCAGACCTCCCTCTTCGTTGTGTTCTTGTTATTCTACCTCCTGATCCTGGTGGGTAATGCCATTATCATCACTGTGGTTGTGGTTGACCACACGCTTCACAAACCCATGTACTTCTTCCTGATGAACCTCTCCGTGTTAGATGTGCTATTCACCACCACCACCATCCCCAAAATGTTGGCCATGTTCTTGGCCAACGCTAAAACCATCTCATTTTGGGGCTGTTTTCTGCAGATGTACAGTTTTCATGGGTTGACGGTAACCGAAGCTCTTCTCCTGGTTGTCATGGCTTATGACCGTTATGAAGCCATCTGCAACCCCCTCCATTACCTGGCCAAGATGACAAGAAGATTGAACATCCAACTGGCAGCCAGTGCCTGGATCACTGCTCTGTTAATACCCGTGCCCGTCATCACTCAGACATCTCAACTAGCTTACAGAGACACAACCAAGGTCCACCACTGCTTTTGTGACCACCTGGCAGTGGTACAAGCTGCGTGCTCAGACTTCAGTGCTGATTTCCAAACCTTCTTGGGGTTCTCCATCGCTATGACAGTGTCAGTTGTCCCTCTATTGCTCGTCACCATCTCCTATGTCCACATCATCCTGTCTGTACTGAAGATCAACTCCAAAGAAGGACGTGTGAGAGCTTTTTCAACGTGTACTTCCCACCTGCTTGTGGTGGGCACCTACTACTCCTCCATCACCGTGGCGTACGTGTCCTACAGAGTGGACATCCCCGTTGACGTCCATATCATGAGTAACGTTGTCTTCTCCATTTTGACTCCTTTGTTAAACCCCATCATTTACACTTTACGCAACAAGGAAGTGAAATCTGCCGTTAAAAAGTCCATTTTGCTGAAAATCTGCCCCGTTTCGACAAAATTCAATGTATTTGGGTGAAATCTACAGAAGCTTCATGTTGTTCATGAATTAACTCTGGTTAATTAAGACACCATCACCTTTGGAGTTCTCTTTGGTTCTCCTGAACTTGTATCTTATGTGAACATATTTCAGCCTCTTGCGGTGAATTTGGGGGGTAAACTTGTAATATTTCTAATTTTTGAGCTTGGTTTCTGTCCTTCGGGGGCTAAATCACAGAGGCACTAAATGAGTCTGTGAATACACTAAATAAAGCTGAGAATGTGCTAAATAAAGATGGAATGTACTAAATAAAGATGGAATGTACTAAATAAAGATGAAATGTACTCAATAAAGATGAAAATGCACTAAATAAAGATGAATATGCACTAAATAAAGATGAATATTCACTAAATAAAGATTAAAATGCACTAAATAAAATGAAAATGTACTAAATAAACATGAAAAAGTACTAAATAAAG